TTTATATTACCTCGATAAGTTTTAAAATGCAATTTAAAGCATTTTTGGTTTCGATCATAGTAGGCTATTTTCAAAAAAATATCGATTCAATAATCTATTTTAGCATTCTTAATCATTTATAATACCTAGATAGGTTTTAAAATGCAATTTAAAGCATTTTTGGTTTTGATCATAGTAGGCTATTTTCAAAAAAATCATTAATCATTTATAATACCTAGATAGGTTTTAAAATGCAATTTAAAGCATTTTTGGTTTTGATCATAGTAGGCTATTTTCAAAAAAATATCGTTTTTATTTCTATATTAGAATTCTTTATCATTTATAATACCTAGATAGGTTTTAAAATGCAATTTAAAGCATTTTTGGTTTTGATCATAGTAGGCTATTTTCAAAAAAATATCGATTCAATAATCTATTTTAGCATTCTTAGTCATTTATAATACCTAGATATGTTTTAAAATGCAATTTAAAGCATTTTTGGTTTTGATCATATTAGGTTTTTTCAAAAAAATATCGATTCAATTATCTATATTAGCATTCTTAATCATTTATATTACCTAGATATGTTTTAAAATGCAATTTTAAGCATTTTTGGTTTGATCATAGTAGGTTATTTTCAAAAAAATATCGATTTAATTATCTATATTAGCATTCTTAATCATTTATATTACCTCGATAAGTTTTAAAATGCAATTTAAAGCATTTTTGGTTTTGATAATAGAAGGCTATTTTCAAAAAAATATAGTTTTTATTTCTATATTAGCATTCTTAATCATTTATAATACCTAGATAGGTTTTAAAATGCAATTTAAAGCATTTTTGGTTTTGATCATAGTAGGCTATTTTCAAAAAAATATCGTTTTTATTTCTATATTAGAATTCTTTATCATTTATAATACCTAGATATGTTTTAAAATGCAATTTAAAGCATTTTTGGTTTTGATCATAGTAGGCTATTTTCCAAAAAAATATCGATTCAATTATCTATATTAGCATTCTTAATCATTTATATTACCTAGATATGTTTTAAAATGCAATTTTAAGCATTTTTGGTTTGATCATAGTAGGCTATTTTCAAAAAAATATAGTTTTTATTTCTATATTAGCATTCTTAATCATTTATAATACCTAGATAGGTTTTAAAATGCAATTTAAAGCATTTTTGGTTTTGATCATAGTAGGCTTTTTTCAAAAAAAATCGATTCAATTATCTATATTAGCGTTCTTAATCATTTATATTACCTCGATAAGTTTTAAAATGCAATTTAAAGCATTTTTGGTTTTGATCAAAGAAGGCTTTTTTCAAAAAAATATCGTTTTTATTTCTATATTAGCATTCTTAATCATTTATAATACCTAAATATGTTCTAAAATGCAACTTAAAGCATTTTTGGTTTTGATCATAGTAGGCTATTTTCAAAAATTTTCGGTTTTATATCTATATTAGCATTCTTAATCGTGTATAATCCCTCGATAAGTTTTTGAATGCAATTTAAAGCATTTTTGGTTTTGATCATAGTAGGCTTTTTTCGAAAAGATTTTGATTTTATATCAATATGAGCATTCTTAATCATTTATAATACCTAGATTTGTTTTAAAATGCAATTTAAAGCATTTTTGGTTTCGATCATAGTAAGTTTTTTTCAAAAAAATATCGATTTAATTATCCATATTAGCATTCTTAATCATTTATATTACCTCGATAAGTTTTAAAATGCAATTTAAAGCATTTTTGGTTTCGATCATAGTAGGCTATTTTCAAAAAAATATCGATTCAATAATCTATTTTAGCATTCTTAATCATTTATAATACCTAGATAGGTTTTAAAATGCAATTTAAAGCATTTTTGGTTTTGATCATAGTAGGCTATTTTCAAAAAAATCATTAATCATTTATAATACCTAGATAGGTTTTAAAATGCAATTTAAAGCATTTTTGGTTTTGATCATAGTAGGCTATTTTCAAAAAAATATCGTTTTTATTTCTATATTAGAATTCTTTATCATTTATAATACCTAGATAGGTTTTAAAATGCAATTTAAAGCATTTTTGGTTTTGATCATAGTAGGCTATTTTCAAAAAAATATCGATTCAATAATCTATTTTAGCATTCTTAGTCATTTATAATACCTAGATATGTTTTAAAATGCAATTTAAAGCATTTTTGGTTTTGATCATATTAGGTTTTTTCAAAAAAATATCGATTCAATTATCTATATTAGCATTCTTAATCATTTATATTACCTAGATATGTTTTAAAATGCAATTTTAAGCATTTTTGGTTTGATCATAGTAGGCTATTTTCAAAAAAATATCGATTTAATTATCTATATTAGCATTCTTAATCATTTATATTACCTCGATATGTTTGAAAATGCAATTTTAAGCATTTTTGGTTTGATCATAGTAGGCTATTTTCAAAAAAATATCGATTTAATTATCTATATTAGCATTCTTAATCATTTATATTACCTCGATAAGTTTTAAAATGCAATTTAAAGCATTTTTGGTTTTGATAATAGTAGGCTATTTTCAAAAAAATATAGTTTTTATTTCTATATTAGCATTCTTAATCATTTATAATACCTAGATAGGTTTTAAAATGCAATTTAAAGCATTTTTGGTTTTGATCATAGTAGGCTATTTTCAAAAAAATATCGTTTTTATTTCTATATTAGAATTCTTTATCATTTATAATACCTAGATATGTTTTAAAATGCAATTTAAAGCATTTTTGGTTTTGATCATAGTAGGCTATTTTCCAAAAAAATATCGATTCAATTATCTATATTAGCATTCTTAATCATTTATATTACCTAGATATGTTTTAAAATGCAATTTTAAGCATTTTTGGTTTGATCATAGTAGGCTATTTTCAAAAAAATATAGTTTTTATTTCTATATTAGCATTCTTAATCATTTATAATACCTAGATAGGTTTTAAAATGCAATTTAAAGCATTTTTGGTTTTGATCATAGTAGGCTATTTTCAAAAAAATATCGTTTTTATTTCTATATTAGAATTCTTTATCATTTATAATACCTAGATATGTTTTAAAATGCAATTTAAAGCATTTTTGCTTTCGATCATAGTAGGCCATTTTCCAAAAAAATATCGATTCAATTATCTATATTAGCATTCTTAATCATTTATATTACCTAGATATGTATTAAAATGCAATTTTAAGCATTTTTGGTTTGATCATAGTAGGCTATTTTCAAAAAAATATCGTTTTAATTTCTATATTAGCATTATTTATCATTTATATTACCTTGATATGTTTTAAAATGCAATTTTAAGCATTTTTGGTTTGATCATAGTAGGCTATTTTCAAAAAAATATCGTTTTTATTTCTATATTAGAATTCTTTATCATTTATAATACCTAGATATGTTTTTAAATGCAATTTAAAGCATTTTTGGTTTTGATCATAGTAGGCCATTTTCCAAAAAAATATCGATTCAATTATCTATATTAGCATTCTTAATCATTTATATTACCTAGATATGTATTAAAATGCAATTTTAAGCATTTTTGGTTTGATCATAGTAGGCTATTTTCAAAAAAATATCGTTTTTATTTCTATATTAGCATTATTTATCATTTATATTACCTAGATATGTTTTAAAATGCAATTTTAAGCATTTTTGGTTTGATCATAGTAGGCTATTTTCAAAAAAATATCGTTTTTATTTCTATATTAGAATTCTTTATCATTTATAATACCTAGATATGTTTTAAAATGCAATTTAAAGCATTTTTGGTTTTGATCATAGTAGGCCATTTTCCAAAAAAATATCGATTCAATTATCTATATTAGCATTCTTAATCATTTATATTACCTAGATATGTATTAAAATGCAATTTTAAGCATTTTTGGTTTGATCATAGTAGGCTATTTTCAAAAAAATATAGTTTTTATTTCTATATTAGCATTCTTAATCATTTATAATACCTAGATAGGTTTTAAAATGCAATTTAAAGCATTTTTGGTTTTGATCATAGTAAGCTATTTTCAAAAAAATATCGTTTTTATTTCTATATTAGAATTCTTTAACATTTATAATACCTAGATATGTTTTAAAATGCAATTTAAAGCATTTTTGGTTTCGATCTTAGTAGGCTATTTTCAAAAAAATATCGATTTAATTATCTATATTAGCATTCTTAATCATTTATATTACTTAGATATGTCATATTCACACAAAATTTTCAATTTTTGTGAATATATTGTTTTTTAAAATGCAATTTTAACATTTTTGGTTTTGATCATAGTAGGCTATTTTCAAACTAGTGAAGAGGTGGTCACTCGTGACCGACCGAAGCGCATTTTCCCCGCACAGAATTCGTAAATAATATACAAATATATATTCAAATCTTTAGATTGAATGTTCATCATATTTTCATGAAAATAAAACAAAATTTCACTGTTCATCATATATTTTTATTCATAAAGTTAAAATTTATGGTATTTGTTGGTTGTTCTCTAATTTCCATGTACTCGGCAAAGTCTGGTTTGATACGAATTACAATAGGTTTGTGGTGACTAACGAAGCTCTCATAGATTGTGCATTGAAAAGAAAAATCCTTTAATCGTCCTAAAATTGCATCAATTGTTGTTCCTGCATTATCGCAGTCAAGTAAATGTGTAATGCTCGTGATAGATTCTTTGAAAAAGTCAAGTGTCGTCTTGGGATTCTTGTAAATATTAATTAAGGTAATGTTAGAGATTATGCATGAAGTCATTTCGATTCGTTCTAAGTTTCTTTCGAAGCAGAATTTTTGAAGAGGCTGAGCCATCTGACTGACTTCAGTAAAAATCATTGTTCCTCGTGGTTGTGGTCGAATGTTAATGTCATTTCTTTGAATTACTTCCTTATTAGGTATATCAAATCTTTCGTTTGTCATTGCCCATACTTCTTGCAGCAACAAGATGTGACTCATCATGAAAACATCATCACTTTTGATGGAATTAATGTGTTTGCGAATTGATTGAACGTTAAATGATACTATTTGAATCTCATTTGCTGGTATTGACTTAAGATGCTGAAATTTTGGAATAAGCTGAGCTGTTTCTCTAAGTCGCTTCATTTCTAATACAACTGGATGATCATCCCGAGGTGGAGTTGGTGATTTGAATTTACCAATTAAATAGAGTCCATCCAGCGTTTTGGCACGCGAACATGCAACATATATAAGTGATCTGGACATGCGTGGTACTAAAAGAATTGTTACATTCTCTAACGTTGAACCTTGGGACTTGTGGATTGAGATTGCTTCTGCTGGGACAATTGGATATTGCTCACGAAAGACCTAATGAACGTAAAAACATTGTAATCTCTAGTTATTCTAATTTAAAATTTTATCGTTACCTGAGCTGAACACTTATTGACTCGAAAATTCAGTTTTATTCTTGTGATGGGCGTCCAAGAGTCATCAATGGCAGAGGTTCCAACCATAATTGCACGTCTTGCTTCACGTGCCTTTCTGCCTATTGTGGGATCATCAAATTTTAAATAAACAGCATCTAGTTCTCCTAAGAAAGTAAAAAGTCAATCAAAATTTTAAATTAATTTAAAAAAAATATTCGAAAAACTTACTATTTCTAAACTCCATAAACATTAACTCTCCAGTACCTCCATTATATAGTCCATCTGTGACGTCAATGTTAGATGTAATCATATATCTAATTCCTTTTTGTAACACTAATTCTGTTGCAAGGCCCTGTGTTTCACGATGGCTCAATTGTTGCAAACTAAATCGCACTTGTCTTTTGTCTGTCTCAGATGTAGCACCGATGATGTTATCGATAGCACGGAATCTTATGTTTACTGTTTCAGGTCTTCGTAGTTCCATAATTCTTTGAAGATTGTGTGAATCAACCTCTTTATTTTGCCATATTAGTCGGCAAGCATCTTTTCCTTTCGCTGGCAGGAGTTTGTCACCGGGTTTCAATTGATGTGGATATTCAACAAAGATTCGTGTATTAATTAAATCAATGTCATTTTGTGTCAATGCACCTTTTGCTAGTCGACCCAACAGTTGTGCGAAAATTAGATCATCTTTTTGACGCATGATTTCGGTAAGTTCAAAATGTTTAAATTTATCCCAAAGTGAATTTCCGAACAAACTATCCACATCATTTTTTCCTCGTGCAAATACAAAGTTGTCTCGAACTGGTTGCAGCTGCTGGAAATCACCTAATGTGATGACGGATCGACCTTCAAACTCCTTTTTTGACTGGAATACTTGCATCAATCTTTTATTGATTTTTTCAAATGTTGTGATTCCCATCATTGATATTTCATCAATGATAATTAGCTTTAGAATCTTTAATTTGACTCTCAGTGTATTCAATACTTCTGGTGAAAGACTATCAGACTTTTTTGTTCCCTGTTCTACCAATACCAAACTAAATGCTGCATGTGCTGTTAATCCATTGACATTGTGAGCTGCCTTTCCAGTGTACGCAATTATAAGAATTTCTGGAGTATCTATAGGTCTAGGTTCACGATTGAAATGCCTCATAAGTGTTTGATATACAGCTTTGATTAGTCTGCTCTTGCCAACGCCTGCTTCACCCGATACAAAATGATACAATGGCAATTCATTTAGTTTGAATGCATTTAAGACATGCATTAAATGATCATTTTGCTTTGTGTTTAAAGAGTTGACCAACTCATAATATTCTTGATCCGAAACTAGATCTGGAACTGTAATTTTATTCTTTTCCATTGAGTTTGTATGATCTGTTGTATTCACTGATTCTATTCCAAACATTTCATTAGACTGAAGTATGTTATCGTCAAAATCATAGACATTCAAATGCTGTTCTTGATCTTGATCTTCATTTTGATCATTTGACTCATCTTCGTCGCGAGCTTGTTCTTCTTCAATGTTTCGTGCAATATCATTTAAATCTATGTCAAGTTTAATGTATCGAGAACTATTTGACTCTATTAGTTCTTTATTTAGTGTGTAAATCTCTGCAAGGTTCAGGTTATCTTTTTCAAGTTCCAATGATTCATCTAGCCAAGGTTTAAACAGCATTAATCTTTCGCGATAGAAATTGTTAGGATCTTTGTGAAAATCATAACGGCAGAATCTGATGATTTTAATTTGCTTTCTCTTTCTTACTGTTCCACCTTCAACCTCATATACTTCATTGAATTCTCCACTTTCATCTTCTTCGTTCTGATTATTGTCAATTGATTCCACCAAATGGTCGTCTTGTTCAACATTTTCATCGTCACTTTCGTTGTTTGATTTCTTTCCTTTGTATGAAAATTTAGCAATGAAGTCTGCTAAGCATACATCTTTTAATGGTTCTGGTCGTTCCTTATATCGGTCTATTGAACCCTTTTTGTAAATGTCTGTACTATTTTCTGGGAGCTTTTTAATCTGGGATTGTGACTTCAGTATTCGATGTCTTGTCTGAAATTATTAAAAAATTTTAATTAGGAATTTTATAAAAAATATAAATGAAAAAATTCCTCTACCTTCATTGGTCCTGTATTGATGAATTCAACTACTGAGCTACTATGTGACCTAGGAAGTCTTAAACGGCACCAAGCTGCTTCTTGAGCAGATATTTCAGTTCCATTATAGTATGTGTATGAAAGTTTTTTGATTTTCTCTCTCAATGAATAATTTCCAGATCTAAACTCCTCAACACATGCACGTAGTAATCTTGAAATTCCTCGACTTGGTTTGTTAATATATTCAACTATGTATCCAATACATGCATATGGATCTAAGACAAACTGTACATCGATGTTTGATTGCATCAACATCAGAATTTTACTTGCATATGGATTTACTCTGGCATCTTTTGGAGCACGTCGGATAAAGATTTTTGTTGCCTTAAGTTGACTTCGAATCGTTTTTATATATTTGTCTCTGTCACAATTAAGTTTTACAAGCAGTTCTTCAAATGTTCCAATCGTATTTAAATCACCCGAAAGAAGTTCATTCAGATTCTTAGATATTGTTTGATATTCATCTTGTTCACCGTTACTGTAAACATAATCAGATGGCAGTGGTTGAAGAATTCTTGTTTTGTCCATCGGATTGAATGGAGCTCCAAATCTGCAGCTTGTGTTCCCTCTCGTTTTCTTTTTACAAGTCCGAGAACATTTGTGATACTGATATTTAACAAACTCTTTGACATTAGGATCATCTGAACTAGTACTTATTATGTTGTCAATAAATTCTTCAATGTGATGAAATAAATGTGGTTTATCAGCATCAAAGGTGGGTGCATCTTTAAGCCATAAAATCATATGCACATGAGGTGATCCACGATGTTGAAACTCAATGCGATAATAATGGTGGAGAATTTTGAACTTTCCAAATGGTCCTTCATCAGTATTTTTCAACGTTTTAAATAATTCTTTGAATTTGTGATCGAAATATAATGAACAAGTTACTGGATCAGTTCGTATCAGTCGATATTTTTCTTCAAAGTCTAATCCTGAGACATCAGCATCATCTTCATTGTCCACAGTTTTCTTGAGAATTCGTAATAGTTCTTTCCATTGCGTTTCTGCAGCTGATAAAGTGACGAATAATGTAAATACCAATATGCTGGAGATCCAGTGATGTTTGTTAGGAATCTATATGCATTATCTCTGGAAATGCTTTCATCGACGAAGTTCGAGTTTAAAATTTGTGATGCTGTGACGTTCGAAGATTGTGCACACTTCTTCAAAGCAATATTAACATTGCTGCATAGCTGTTTCAGTTGTGACTTCTTGTGCATAAATAATAAATGATCTGCTCTCACTGCACGACAATCACGTCGCCGAATTTCGCTGTTTACATGGTCTTCATATGATAGCTTGACGATTGGTGAATGTACTCGTTCATGGCCAAAGTAAATTGTTGGAAATGATAATTCTTCACAATTGATATCTGTTAATATAGATACTGGAATCTGTCCTTCACCTGTAAAGATTATAAATTATTAGTATATTGATTTGATCTGTGTTTTAAAATTTTTTTTCCCAAAATGCAGTGTATAGTTTCTTGCCAAAGTACAGTGATTAAAATTTCATGCCAAAATGCAGTGTTTTAAAATTTCATGCCAAAATGCAGTAATTAAAAGTTAAAACAATTTACTTACCTGGAGCAAATTCAATTGCTTCGTTCGCATCTAAGAGAGTTTCTTCATAAAGTTGGTTAACTTCTTCATCAGCTCTTTGTGTCTCTGATTCTGGATCTGATTGGTTCTCTGTATCTTCATCCATTGGAGCTAGAAAATAAAGATTTTAAATTAAAAATTGAAAAGAAATTTCATTGCTGGCATTTCTTACCTTCATTTGAATCCGAGTTGAAAATGTCATTTGCTCCAACTTGTCAGCTTTCATCAAGATTGATTCCTTCTTTTATGTACAAGGGTGTTTGTACTAGAATTTTTCCTGCTTCGTAAACAACTGCTGGACGAATTCTCTCATATAGATAATGATTCTGCATTCCAATTCGTCTCTTTAGCTTTAGATGAATTACTCCTGATTGTTCCGGTTTGATGGGGATCGTCTTGAACATTTTCGGAACATCAACAGGTATATTGATTACTCCGCTTTTCAGTCCGAATTGACGATCAACACCAAGAGCGAATATTTTCATAAAAGGGATTCTTGTTGCAACCAATCGCTCCTCAAGTGGAGTTAAACTTGTAATGATATCAGGAAGTTTTGGAAATGCCAAAAGTGATTTATTGACGTTGAATCGTGGATATTTCTTTGCTCTGATGTTTGTGTAACAGGTAAAACAAAATTGATAAACTTTTTCATTCACAAATTCTTCCAGCAAAACTTCCTCAATGAATGTATCAGTACATCCACAATCTTTAAGTTTGTCACGCGTAATATTTTTAATCGATTTTTTGAACCACAGACGATCGCAACTATAACAGTTGTATGTTGGACCTTCCTTGATGCATTCAAAGTATTGCTCCATGACTTCAATCCACGATAACATTTGATTTCGCTTTACGCGTCGAGCAGCTGTATTTTGTGCTTGTTCATTTGCACGAACTGTTGGATTACTTCTTCGGCTTAGTCGAACAGCTGTGTCTTGTGCTTGTTCATTTGCACGAACTGTTGGATTACTTCTTCGGATTTTTCGAGCAGCTGTGTCTTGTGCTTGTTCATTTGCACGAACTGCTGGATCATTTCTTCGGATTTGTCGAACAGCTGTGTCTTGTGCTTGTTCATTTGCACGAACTGTTGGATTACTTCTTCGAACTTGTCGAGCAGCTGTATTTTGTGCTTGTTCATTTGCACGAACTGTTGGATTACTTCTTCGAACTTGTCGAGCAGCTGTATTTTGTGCTTGTTCATTTGCACGAACTGTTGGATTACTTCTTCGAACTTGTCGAGCAGCTGTATTTTGTGCTTGTTCGCTTGCACGAACTGGCTGAATCACTTCTTTTGAATTTTTTGGCTTCCTTATCTCGTTCCTAAAAATAAAAATAAAATTTTAATTTATTTTCAACAATAATGTTCTTTATATTACCCTTTCTTCATTTCTGTAGTTTGTATCAGATCGTATTTGTGCTACTTTTTCTTTATTTTGTTTTCGCTTTGTTTTCGCTGATACAGGACGAGATGGTTTTTAAGGCATCTAATAAATTAAGAATTGTAATAAATAAAAAAGAAAATTAATTGTCTGGAATTTGAAAATGATGAAATTTGTTTTATTTACCTTATTTAATGCATCTAAATATTGAATATGATATTGTTTTGTATTGTATTGTATTTTATTTATTACCATAGGTATTGAATTATAATTTGTTTGATTGTGTAAAAGTTGCAAAATTTGTCATTTTTCGCATTGGCGCTGCTATCAATGGCACCTTCATGGCAGGTGGAGGGGTGCAAACCCCTTGTAAAGTATTACACTCATTGATGCATCGTGTGCGGGTGGATCCTTTTGAGACTCGAAAGCTTTCACAATGTGTCCATCATTTTACATGAATACACCGATACGGTCTTATGAAAAAAAATGATGGTTTCGCAGTAAAAACGATTTAAACATACACACAGCTCTTTCTCAATTGACGCCAAAGCTATGAGCATCTTGAAAGGATGCGGAGTATTTCTACCCTAGTAAAATAACATTCATAAACGAGCGTTTGTGGGTGGATCCGTCACCGGACACGATTGCTGTGTGTATGCAACCCTAATCATGCATGATTACACCTGTAGGCCTGATGCTCTGATGAGAGTTTCACGAAGTTACTCTAGTGGGTATTTTGATTTAACGTAGTTAATCGCAGAAGATTTAACCGAGTGCTTTATCACTATCATGCAAATTTCTGTATGTTATAAAATCGTTATAAATTTTGATGCCATTGCAAAATATATTGTTCTGTGATGATGCTTTGGTGTAATTCTTCGGTTGATATTCATTGTTCCGACGGGTTTGATGATGGTGAGTTTCGCTTACTTTAATCATATGCTCGTTAAGGTACGAGGGACAATTTCCTGTAGCTGTTCTGTGAATGAAAAGAATTGTATTAAGGTAGATTAACTGCTTAACTGTGAGCCAATCCAGTTGCGCTAACATTTCAATACGAGGTGTTCTATAATGAACCTTGAGAAGCAATCGTGCGAATCGATTCACAACTTTTTGGAACTCATTTAGTTGTGTGTCTTTTAATAAGAATAAAACTGTAGAGCAAAAGTGAAAATGTGAGAAAACTAAGGATGATACAAACAGCTTTTTGCTTTCAAAATTGAGTTTGTTCTCACAGCGTTTTAAAACGTAAAATTTTGAATTAAGCTTTTTCAACAAGTTTTCAAAATGACTCGTGAATGACAGCTTGTCATCGATTGTGATTCCTAAATATTTCATCTCGCTAACAACTTCAATGGGTTGATGGTCTATGAATATTGGCTTTGGCAGTGTCAGTTGACACTTATTCGTTATCAACATGGCTTTTGATTTAGTGTGTCCATCAAGTAGAACGGTGACCTAACGAGTTGAGTGATGTACTATATATGGGTTTTTTGTGCTATTTTGTGAAAGCAGAAAAACAACCTCTTTGAATTTTGTGAAGATTCCAGGTCCGAGATATGAGCATTTGAAAACGGAACTAGGTCCGATTTTTCACATTCTTACTTTTTCAACTTTATCTCAAGCAAGACTAAACGAAAATTGTTGAAACTTTGCCTGTTTTATGTGCAATTGACCCTTAATCAAATAAGCTTAACAAAAATATTTTAGGTTCCATAGTTGTAAAGATATGGCGATTCTAAAATGCAACCTAGTGCTAAATTAGCTATTTTTTTATATTTTTTATTGTAAATCTGGTAAATCTTGATAAAGAGTGATCAAACTTGGCCAGTAATTTGTGCAAGTGTTCCTCAATCAAATAAATTTAACAAAAAAATTTTATGTCATATAGTTGTAAAGATATAGCCATTTTGCGTTCCAGCCTAGTGCAAAACTAGCTTTTCGTTCTTACATTTTCAACTGTAAATCCGGTAAATTTTGATAAAGAGTGTTCAAACTTGGCCAGTAATTTGTGCAATTGACCTTTAATCAAATAAACTTAACAAAAATATTTTAGGTTCGATAGCTGTAAAGATATGGCAATTTTACGATTCAACCTAAGGCAAAATTAGCTACTATTTTACATTTTTGACTGTAAATCGCATAAGTTTTGATAAAGAGTGTTTAAACTTGGCCAGTAATTTGTGCAATTGTCCCTTAATCAAATAAACTTAACAAAAATATTTTAGGTTCCATAGCTGTAAAGATATGGCAATTTTACGATTCAACCTAAGGCAAAATTAGCTACAATTTTACATTTTTGACTGTAAATCGTACAAGTTTTGATAAAGAGTGTATAAACTTGGCCAGTAATTTGTGCAATTGACTCTTAATCAAATAAACTTAACAAAAATATTTTAGGTTCCATAGCTGTAAAGATATGGCAATTTTACGATTCAACCTAAGGCAAAATTAGCTACAATTTTACATTTTTGACTGTAAATCGTACACGTTTTGATAAAGAGTGTTTAAACTTGGCCAGTAATTTGTGCAATTGACCCTTAATCAAATAAACTTAACAAAAATATTTTAGGTTCGATAGCTGTAAAGATATGGCAATTTTACGATTCAACCTAAGGCAAAATTAGCTACTATTTTACATTTTTGACTGTAAATCGTACACGTTTTAACAAAGAGTATATAAACTTGGCCAGTAATTTGTGCAATTGACTCTTAATCAAATAAACTTAACAAAAATATTTTAGGTTCCATAGCTGTAAAGATATGGCAATTTTACGATTCAACCTAAGGCAAAATTAGCTACAATTTTACATTTTTGACTGTAAATCGTACAAGTTTTGATAGAGAGTGTTTAAACTTGGCCAGTAATTTGTGCAATTGTCCCTTAATCAAATAAACTTAACAAAAATATTTTAGGTTCCATAGCTGTAAAGATATGGCAATTTTATGATTCAACCTAAGGCAAAATTAGCTACTATTTTACATTTTTGACTGTAAATCGCATAAGTTTTGATAAAGAGTGTATAAACTTGGCCAGTAATTTGTGCAATTGACCCTTAATTAAAAAAACTTAACAAAAATATTTTAGGATCTATAGTTGTAAAGATATGGCGATTCTACTATGCTTGTATTAGCTAATTTTGTACTAGGTTGAATCGTACAATTGCCATATCTTTACAGCTATGGAACCTAAAATATTTTTGTGAAGTTTATTTGATTAAGGGTCAATTGCACAAATTACTGGCCAAGTTTATACACTCTTTATCAAAACTTATGCGATTTACAGTCAAAAATGTAAAATTGTAGCTTATTTTGCCTTAGGTTGAATCATAAAATTGCCATATCTTTACAGCTATGGAACCTTAAATATTTTTGTTAAGTTTATTTGATTAAGGGTCAATTGCACAAATTACTGGCCAAGTTTGAACACTCTTTATCAAAATTTACCGGATTTACAGTTGAAAATGTAAGAACGAAAAGCTAGTTTTGCACTAGGCTGGAACGCAAAATGGCTATATCTTTACAACTATGTGACATAAAATTTTTTTGTTAAATTTATTTGATTGATGAACACTTGCACAAATTACTGGCTAAGTTTGATCACTCTTTATCAAGATTTACCAGATTTACATTAAAAAATATAAAAAAATAGCTAATTTAGCACTAGGTTGCATTTTAGAATCGCCATATCTTTACAACTATGGAACCTAAAATATTTTTGTTAAGTTTATTTGATTAAGGGTCAATTGCACATAAAACAGGCAAGGTTTCAACAATTTTCGTTTAGTCTTGCTTGAGATAAAGTTGAAAAAGTAAGAATGTGAAAAATCGGACCTGGTTCCGTTTTCAAATGCTCATATCTCGGACCTGGAATCTTCACAAAATTCAAAGAGGTTGTTTTTCTGCTTTCACAAAATAGCACAAAAAACCCATATATAGTACATCACTCAACTCGTTAGGTCACCGTTCTACTTGATGGACACTGATTTAGTGACATTGAGTGAAAGTTTTGAGATGCAGAGCCATTCGAATATGCGTTCTAAGTCCGAGTTTAATAAGTCAATGTGTTCGTCAAGTTCATCAGGCTTACATATTATATAAATTAGTGTGTCGTCAGCAAACAGTTTAATTTTGGAATGTTGAACAACAGTGACAATGTCGTTGATAAAAATAATAAAGAGAACGCAACTGAGTACTGAGCCTTGAGGAATTTCTATCAAAATCGAGATTAATTCTGAGATAACATTATTAAACTTAGTTTGTTGAAGGCGATTAAAAAGGTAAGAGCGGAACCAACTAATTACTGTCTCGTCACATCCGTAAAGTGACAATTTTTGCAGAAGTAGTGTACGATCGACTGTTTCAAATGCTCTTTTAAAGTCAAGAAATACTGCTACAATTACGTGGTTCTTGTCAATGGATTCTTTCCAGTTTGTTAAGACATAAGTAAGAGATGTTTCACAACTGTGGAATTTTCTGAACCCAGATTGTTCTTTACAGAAAAGGTTGTTTGATTCAAAGTGCTCTAGCAGTTGGTCCTTGACGATACGCTCTACAATTTGACTGATGACACAAAGTGTATTAATGGGCCTTAAATCGGAAGAATTGAGCGAGCCTTTTACTTTTTGAATAGGCGTAACTGTGGATATTTTGCAATAATCGGGAAAAATACCTTGCGATAAGGATGCATTTAGGAAATTTGTGAAAGATATCAAAAAATTGGGGTTGCTTAAGGCATCGTTGATAACTTTGCCTGAGATGTTGTCGTTATAAAACTTCTTCTTTGAATCTGCAGCATATAATTAAACTGTGTGGTGAGAAAGTAATGTGAATTTGAAGTTGTTAGGGGGTCGCATAATTTGTAACATGTGTGGTTTATTTGAGATGGGAATTGCATGAGTAAGATCAATAATGGAAGATACAAAATGAACATTCAATTTATCACTAATCAATTTAGGATCAATTTCCAATTTGTCATCGAATTTGATCGCTGTTAAATTGTTTTTGT